GAGATGCTTTAGTTTTGTTAAAAACAAATTTATTTATTTATATCCCAATCATAAAAGACGAAAATGGTCCAAAAATCATACTATTCCTACCTCTGGCTTCCCCCTAAATTCACCTCCCCCCTTTCGTAGAAGAAAACGAAAAAAACGGAAAAAACGGAAAAAACGTCGTAGGAAAGGTAAAAAGTTCAAATAAAAAATGTAGCTGAGACAATGTTTAATAAAAATGTTTATTAACACTTTTTGTATAAAGGAAACAGGTCTCCCAAAAATATCTGGCGAAAAATATCATAAAATATGCTGACGACACCGTCCTTCTGCACCACAAAACACCAAACACAACACAACACCTTCAGCACAAAACACCAAAATTAAACTAGTACTAGATAATACAGAAATTGAACAAATATCTTCATACAAATACCTTGGAGCATGGATCACAGAAGATACTGACCAGACAAAAGAAATAAGATGCCGCATTGAAATTGCACGGTCAACTTTTAATACAATGATAAACCTTTTTTGTAATCGCGATATCAATATATCGCTCCGGATAAGAATGCTTCGATGCTATATTTTCTCTACCCTTTTGTATGGGGTTGAAGCTTGAACACCTAAAAAATCCAACATTAAAAACCTAGAAGCATTCGAAATGTGGTGTTACCGATGTATTTTGAAAATATTATGGATGGATCGCAAAATAAACGAACAAGTTCTTGAACAACTAGGAAAACAATGCGAAATTCCATAAAAATCAGAAAATTGGAATACTTGGGGCACATCATGAGAGGTGAAAAATACGAACTACTAAGGAATATAATGCAAGGTAAAATCAAAGGCAGAAGAAGCGTAGGAAAACATAAAATCTCGTGGCTACGCAATCTCCGTAAATGGTTTGGATGCAGTTCAATTGAACTATTCAGGCGCGTAACCAACAAAATTATAATTGTCAGAATGATTTCCAATTTCCGATAGCAGCGAAACTTGAAGAAGAAGTATAATTTTATTACTATATTTTGAATTTAACGGTGGTCCGCAAAAAAACAAGCTTACGGTCCGGCTGCAGACCGCGGTCCGCTATTTGGTGAGCTCTGATCTAAGTGATCGAAAAACATTGAATAAGAAAAGGCTTGTTTTCCCCTATTTTTTGTACTCTTTGCTATTTCGCAGCAACGGTAATAAATGAAAACATTTGTAACCAGCTGTATTTTATAGAAATTTAAATTTTTCCTTTTTTATTTCAATGCGACTTTGCTCCAAAATGAATTATTTTAAAGCTATAAGCAAAGAAAGAAGAAAATCAATATTTTAAGTAATTTTTAAATATATTAATGTTTTATTACTGTTCCCGACCTATTTGAGAGGGAGGATGTCAATTATTATTACTGAAGTTATCACCTAACTATTTCTGCAAAAATCCGAATACCTCCTCTCACATCCACCTCAAAGCAGATCCGCTCTGCTCTATTTACCTACTTTAAATTTTGGAAGTGAAGGCATTAACATCGGTACAAATAGAAAGCGATTTTAAGCTAGTATTGTGCAAAATCCAAATGAAAGCACATATATATTATAAAAATAAAATTATAAAATACACCACAAAAATAAAAACTGAAAATCTGCAAAATGACACCAAAAAAGAATAGCATGAAAATGTAGAAACGCATATATTATCCGAAGCGATGGAGTCAAGGAAAGCTGGGCAAAAATAAAGCAAACATCTTCGACTTAGTTAAAGAAGCTATGGGCGAAAAAAATATACATACAAGCAAGTTTTTCACAAATCGAAAAACTTTGTGGTTCTGTACAGAGGTGAAAGAAAAATCCAAGAAAAGAAAAAACTTTACCTGAAGTACCTACATGTAAAATAACATAAACAAGCATACGAATATTACAACAGAATAAGAAATAAAACACATGCACTTTTAAGACGGATTAAAAACGAGCACTGGAAACATGTCTCAAACGAACTGGAGCACGATTTTTATGGTTTACAAAAAGAAATATGGAGCTTTATAAGAGGTCAAAGAGGGAATGTGAAGGAATTAATAGCCCAGAAATACTTCGAAAGGGATGCATTTATTGACTATCTAAAGAAGTTATACACCGAGGAACAACACGTGACGTTGCAACCAGAAACACCAGAAATTTCCATAAACGACGAAGTTTACATAAACAAGCAGGAAGTACAAAAAACATTTGAAAAACTAAAAAACAGATAAGCTGTAGATAAAGATGGGATACCAAATCAGTTGTTGAAATATAATGACAATATTAATTAATAAAACACAATAAAATATTATACATAAAAGTAAAAAACGAATACAAAGCCACACACAGGGAGATCAGGATAAAAATACGGGCAGCTAAAGAGAAGTGATACAACGACAAATATTTAGAGATAAAAGAACTCCAGAGAAATCATGATAGTTTTAAATTACACAAAAAGATTAAAGAATTAGCAGGTATAAGACGGTTTAACAATAGTAACAACCTGGTTGATACGAATGGTAAAATAATATCTGATATCAAAGGCAAACTAAACAAATGGAGAGAATACGTCCAAGAATTGTTTGAGGACGACAGGACACAACAAGATAGCATGAACGATTGCGAGGAACATGATATAGGTCCAAATATAACTAAGGTTGAAATACTACATGCAATAAATCTGGCAAAATCTAATAAAACTGCGGGGCCTGACACAATTCCAACTGAAATAATTAAATAAATATCAGAAGATCAGATCTATGTATTAGTAGACTTATATAATACTATAATACGGGTAGTATTCCGAGAAATTGGCTCAAATCAACATTTATTACATTACCAAAAAAACCTAATACAAGGGAATGTAATGACCACCGTATAATTAGTCTAATAAGTCACACACTAAAAATATTCTTAATAATTATTCATTTAAGAATTTTCAGAAAAGTGGAACAAGACATCACTGAAACCCAATTTGGATTTATTAATGCCATGGGTACACGAGAGGCATTATTTGGATTTAAGGTCCTTATGGATGTAAAAAAACCACTCTGTTTATTTTATTCATTACAATAAAGCGTTTGATAAAGGTCCGACACAACCGTCTTATACAGTTACTTAAAAATAAACACATTGACAAAAAAGACTTAAGAATAATAACTCATCTCTACTTTAACCAAACAACAAAAGTCAGAGTAGGCAAAGAACTTTTGGAGGAAATAGAGATAAAAAGAGGCGTAAGGCAAGGTTGCATACTCTCCCCCTGATTGTTTAATTTATATTCGGAAGAAATAACTAAAAAATTACTCGAAAATGTAACAATTGGAATAGAAGTCAACGGCAGAACAATCAACAATATCAGATATGCCGATGATACTATACTAATTGCAGAGAATATACAAGATCTATAGACACTCTTAGATAATGTAGTAAATGCTAGTGAAGAAATCAGACTAACGCTTAATGCTAATAAAACATAATGTATGACAATTTCCAAAACACAACAAGATATTTTAAACATTTAAACATAAGAGGAGTTCCAATACAAAAGTAAAAAAATACAGATATCTTGGTACAATTATTAATGAAAATGAGGAATATACAGAAGAAATAAAAATGAGAATTGGTCAAGCTAGAGCTTGTCCAATTCTCATTTTTATTCATCCAAATCTCATAAAAGTATTGAGATTCATACATGAGATCCAAATCTCATAAAAGTATTATGCAGTAGAGACCTTAGTTTGGAACTCAAAATGAGAAATATTACGTTCACATTGTTTTCGACGCTGCTGTAGGGGTGGAAGCCTGGACCTTAAGAAAAGAGGTGAGCGATCGACTTGAAGCATTCGAGATGTGGACCTACCAAAGAATATTAAAAATAAGTTTGGTAGACCGAATAACAAATGTTGAAGAAGATGAATCTCCTGGCTCAACAATCTGAGAAAGTGGTATAATCGACCACTTTCGAATATAAAATCGACTTGTTCAGAGCTGCAATATCAAAAGTGAAAATAGCTGTGATGATTAGGAACCTTCTTAGAGGAGACGGTACCTAAAGAAGAAGAAGTAAAATATTAGAAGAATTAGGGACAAGCCAGCTAATTTTATTTTTCAAAAAGGGTAATAAGAAACAGCCAGAAAACTACAGAGATACTAATTTGCTATATACTAAGCTGAACCTTACAACTAAAGTTGTGCAAGAACGAATAAATCAGATCATAAATTTAGCAGATGAGCAACAAGGTTTCCGTACAGTAGGGAAGGTCGTGTATTAAAATACAATAGATCCGCATTTCTATGTTTGATTGACTTGAAGAAGGCATTTGACCTAGTAAGAATTAAAGATGTAATACATCTCTTATCTACTAAAGAGATCCCGCTAGATATTAATAAAAACAATTGAAAACGTCTATCAAAACAGCAAGATCGAAGTCACGGTAGATGGACAACTTACGGAGCCTATAGATATTATTAGTAATGGAATAATAGAGGGAAATTCACTAAGTTCTATGCTATACAATATAAACATGGATGAAGTCATAAAGAGCGGCAATGAAGGAAGAGGATACAGAGTGGGGAATAATGAAATTAGAATTCTCTGGTATGCAGAGAATAGCAAAAGAATTTAACATCAGATTGCAACTCAGAAACCTAGAAGAATAGTTATGATCAATAAGATGTAAACTGAAAATCAATCGGGTTGCTATTTTAAACATTATTCTGAGATGCATTACCAAAAATAGTTAGAAAAGTTGATAACAAAAATATAAGGACTGAAATATTAATTGAAAAAATCAAAAAAAAAGTTCTAGTCGAGCTTATAATCCTGCAAAAAATATCGATAATCAAAAATAAACTAAAAAATAGGCATACTTTTTAGGGACCATATTCAATAATAAATAATATAATTTTAATGTTTTTTTAATAAACTATCGGAAAAGCATATTTTATAACTGAAAATAATCAAAAGAAAATATATTATGTGTAAAAAGTTTTTCATCTGGTATATTTACCTAAATCGAATAACGTAGATTCTGCGAGTAATATTACACTAGCAAATATAAAAATTGCAGTTCCGACCCCGCACCCCATGACTTAAGTCTTTAGCACTCCTCGCACTTTACTCGACTCACCGTTACCCACCGAGGAGCACTGTAATAACGCTCTCGATGTCGACTTATGTCAATCGATTCGGCCTGGTACAGTCAGTCAACTGTTACTGGACATCAGCATTCGCGGCCTGCTTCGATCTCGGTGAGATCTCTATTGGGACATGAACGACATATTTGTGGGTTACATATTATGAGTGGACCTTTTCCTTATTTGTCATATCATATAGGAACAATTTGTGCAAACTTATTGGAAAGTCTATGAGGCGCTGCTTGGAGCAGAACCTAAATCGGCGATGAAATTTTGTTTTTCGCGAAATAGAAAAATTAATGTCGCATAAGATTTTAAACTGAGGCTGTGTTTTATTTTTGTTTGTGTAAATATTGCTTCAATACATTTAATTTACCGCAATAACTTATATGGAATACCGAGTTTCAACATTCAAGTTTTACCGATTTATAATCGCTATCTATTTATGTCCTTCCATTATGTGACATTTTAGCGTAGAACTAAACATGAGACGTCTCGTCCCGCACTTTGTTCCGCATTTTGTTTCGGGGACAGGACGGCACAGCGATTTGTGCTGCCGGACGGGACAGTAATTTTTCTGCGGGACGGGACTAACGCGAATAACGATTTGGTAATTAAAGTTATACAAGTAGCTTAAAAGCCGCATTCATCCCCACAGCCGCTCCCAAGTCCGGATAAAAGAGGAGGGTTGATGGGCCAGGTTAGCATCCTACCCATTGTAAAAGAAAACAAGGCTCAAAAAACCGATATAAAGCCTCGGAACCAGACGGAACCTAAAATGACGGATCACGCTAAGAAAAAGAAAATTTACTTCACATTACTTTTTTCTAACATTACTTCTTTCAACAACAAAGACCAAGAGATAATATAAAAACTGATAAATACAAACATAGACATTTGTACAATCCAAGAAACCAAGAAGAAAGGTAAAGGCCAAAGAGACTATAAACATCATGAATGTGTTGCTTGTGTGAGTCCATATCAAATAGGTAAAGAAATAATAATAAGACTTACTCACAATCAATTTAATTTAACAATCTGACGACCGGTTTCGCTTTCTACAGTTTGCAAAGCATCTTCAGGTCTAGATACAAAGTTAAACTAATGCTGCAATAAAATAAACCCAATTAGGGTGGTGTCTAATAAAGATAAAATAAATAAATAAGTTAGTTCATACAAATTATAGTAATTATGCCAATATTACATGTCTGTGGTTTTCAAAATGAATAAATTTGAATATATAAAAGGTATTAACAGACAAGGTAAGACCCACAATTGGTATAAAGTAGTAATATTATATTGTAATAAATTAATAAATGAGCAGATAAATAAAACAAAACAAACATTACTTACATGCCGGTACTCTATTAATTGATGGATGGATTTTTGCAACCATGACCTACCATCCATCAATTAATAGAGTACCGGCATGTAAGTAATGTTTGTTTTGTTTTATTTATCTGCTCATTTATTAATTTATTACAATATAATATTACTACTTTATACCAATTGTGGGTCTTACCTTGTCTGTTAATACCTTTTATATATTCAAATTTATTCATTTTGAAAACCACAGACATGTAATATTGGCATAATTACTATAATTTGTATGAACTAACTTATTTATTTATTTTATCTTTATTAGACACCACCCTAATTGGGTTTATTTTATTGCAGCATTAGTTTAACTTTGTATCTAGACCTGAAGATGCTTTGCAAATTGTAGAAAGCGAAACCGGTCGTCAGTTTGTTAAATTAAATTGATTGTGAGTAAGTCTTATTATTATTTCTTTACCTAGACTATAAACAATATTATCTAGCATACAGTGGAGTGGAGAAAGTAGAACGAGCTCAACCAAACTGCAAATCTAAGGAAGGACGAGAGACATTCTATGAACAATTGCAAACCATCCTGGATGAAATACCTAATGAAGAACCCTTAATTCTCATGGGTGACTTTAATGCACGAATCGGAAATGAAATTCAAGTTCCAAGAGTAAAACAAAGATTTATTGAAAACCATGTCAACGCAAGTGGAAAACTCATGACTAATATCTGTGCTTTTAGCGAACTGAGAATCAATAATACATTTTTCGACCATTAGCTCCAGTATAAAATATACATTTGAAAACTCCAGGGGCACAAATATATCATTGAATTTAAAATCACTAATGGAAAAATCCACCCAAAGCAGATTCTAGATATCCGAACTTTAAACTCAGCAGACGCAGAGAGTGAACAGAAACAAGTACTAGCAAAATAAGAATGAAAATAGCACCAAAACATTTTCTACAGGAAATCACCGAGGAAAAATTCAATGTAAAATCACTGTGGAACAAGTGATAAGACATAAGACTATAAGACGAGACTTCACTGCTTACTAACCAATTTCCGATGACAAAAACAAATAACGAAAAACCATTATGAATTTAAAAAATTAAAGTTACTTATGTTATAATCACCCCACATCACTTTCCCCACCAACCTAAATGGATATTTAATTGACACTCAATATTAAGCGATATCAACATCAAAAAAATACTAAAGAAATACCAATCGTTAATATAAACAACATTTTAAAGTAATTACTATTTAAATGAAAATAAGCCACAATTAAAGTTTACAGTACGTTTATTGACGTTTCAATTTCCACTTCAGAAATTGTTCTCAAACTACAAACATTAGTATGATATGTCAATAAACGTACTTTAACCTTTAATTGTGGCTTATTCCCATTTAAATAGTAATTACTTTAAAAATGTTTATATTATCAATCTCAGCGACGCAAAGATTAAAAATATTTTTCTGCCTTTTAACAATATCTTCTTCTTCCCGTGCCACTCCTAGCGGAGATTGGAAATCATCATGGCCACTGCGACTTTGTTAGCAGCGCGCCTAAAAAGTTCAATCGAACTACACCCGAACCATTCACGTAGATTACGAAGCCACGATATTTTTCTTCTTCCCACACTTCTTTTGCCCTTAATTTTGCCCTGCATGATGTTTCTTAAAAGTTCGTACTTTTCACCTCTCACAATGTGCCCCAAGTATTCCATCTTTCTAGTTTTTATCTCATTTAGAATTTCGCATCTTTTGTCTAAAGTTTGGAGTACTTGCGTGTTAGTGACGCGGTCCATCTATGATATTCTGAGAATGCGCCTATAGCACCACATCTCGAAAGCTTCGATGTTTTTTATGGTCAACTGTTTTAGTGTCCAAGCCTCAACTCCATATAACAGGGTAGAAAAGACATAACACCGCAGCATTCGTATTCGTAACTTTATATTGATATCACGATTGCAAAAGAGATTGCGCATTCTATTAAAGACTGATCTAGCAATTTCTATTCTACATCTAATCTCTTTTGTTTGATCAGTATCGTCTGTGATCCAAGCACCTAGATATTTATAACAGGGCACACGCTCAATCGTTGTATTATCTATTACAAGATTAGCTCTGATGTTCTTTGATTTCGTGATTACCATAAATTTAGTTTTTTTTCAAATTAATTTTCAAGCCGTAACTGTTACAGTATATATTGAGACTTTGAACGAAATGTTGTAGTTCTACTAGCGTTCCCGTTAGGAGAACTGTATCGTCAGCATACCTTATATTGTTGATCGTCTCACCATTTATTATCAGACCAAGATCTTCTTCCTCGAGTGCTTGTTCACAGATAGCTTCAGTATACAGATTAAATAAAAGTGGCGATAAGATACATCCCTGCCGGACTCCTCGACGGATTTGAATTTCTTCTGTTAGTCTGCCCTCAACCTTGACATTTGCTGTTAAATTCCAATATAGATTGCAATTCGAATATCTCGGCTGTCTATATTTTTCTTTATTAGAACTTGTCTTAGTGGTTCATGTTGAACTTTGTCAAAGGCCTTTTCGAAATCAATAAAGCAGGCGTAAATTTCTTGGTTCATGTCGAAACATCTCTGTGAGAGAAACGTTCATTGCAAACAGAGCCTCCCTTGTACCCAGCCCTTTTCTGAATCCCATCTGAGTGTTACTGATGTCTACGTCTAATTTCCTATAGATCCTATTATGGATTATTTTTAAGAACAGTTTTAGAGCATGACTCATCAAAGCTATCGTACGATATTCGTTGCATTCCTTTGTATTTGCCTTTTTTGGCAGTAGTATAAAGGTCGAACGGAGCCATTCCCTAGGTATTATTCCAGTTCTATATATTGTGTTAAATAGATCTAGGAGTATTTTAATAGATTCATCGTCCATAAGTTTGAGCAGTTCTACGGGAATTTCATCAGGGCCGGGGGCCTTACCACTTTTTGCTTGTTTGATTGCATATTCTATTTCTTCTCTGATTATATCAGGCCCTGTATCATCTGTATATTCGTTTGAGATTTCTTGTCTGTCTTTGTCATCAAACAGTTGTGATATGTATTCTGTCCATCGGTTCATTTTTTGTTGTAAATCTGTTATAATTATACCATCTGTATCTTTGATCTGTCCTGTCTGTGTTGTTCTTCTCCTTCCTGTCATTGCTTTAATCTTTTTGTGTACATTAAAAAAGTCATATTTTCGCTCGAATTGTTCCAACTCCTGGCATTGCTCACTTAGCCATCTTTCTCTAGCTTCTCTTATTTTCTTTTTTATCAGTTTATCTGTTTCTTTGTATCTTATCGGATTATTTGTTTTGTGTACCCTTCTTTCACGCATCAACTGTAGTATTTCCTCATTCATCCATTCTTTATGTTTCCTTTCTTTCGGTGTTAAATTTTCTCTCCCTGCCAACATTACGGCATGTTTAATATTCTCCCATTTTTGGTCTATGTTATCAGTATTTCTATTCAGTTTCTCTATGTTTTGTAAATTTTCTTTGATGTTCACTATTGTTTTCTCTTTTATATGTTGTTCATTCAGTCTTCTCACGTCAATTTGTTTCTGTATGTGTTTTTTAATAATCTTTAGTTTTATTCTTAATGTGACTACTACAGGATTGTGATCCGAGCCTATATCTGCTCCTGGTTAGGTTTTAGCTGAGAGTATAGAGTTGCGGAATCTTTGACTAACAAGGACAAAGTCAATTTGGTTTCTGACTACTCTACCTTTGGTGTCACTCGGAGATTTCCATGTGTACAGTCGTCT